TGGTAACATCAGGACTGTGCCTTTTTACTTGTCAACCTTGGGTTGTCAGCCTCAGCAGCCAGTAGCTATTTGAGTGAAGAAATGCCTCTAGCTCCAGTGGACCAGGAGCAAGAGGCAGAGCTGGATCCCAAAGTTGAGGGGCTTTCACCCAGCCCCTAGAGCCTGGTACTTTGAACTTGGATTTAAAGTCTCAAAACTGTAAGACAATAAACTCCTGTTTGTTAAGGGCATCCCATTTGTGGTATATTCTTGTCAGAGAGGCACGAGGTAACCATAACAGTGACCCTGCTGGCATTTGAAACATTGTGACATAGCCTCCAGCCTCACAGCAACACTCAAGCCACCACAGCACAGCAGTGTTAAATGTGATCTAATATAGCAAAAAACGTCAACTGCAAAGAAATTCATATATTCCATAAATATAATTTCAAAAATTATATTTTAAAAGACGGAATTGTGCAGCACATATGTGAACTGAGTAGACACAGACATTACTTACATTCTTTCTGTGAGTGAGGATTAAGAAATATTTGGCAAGATCTCAAACTTGTTTTTTTTTTTTTTAACAGATTGTACATTTTAGCTGAATAAATTTTTTATCCCTATTAAGCACAGATACTCTTTCATGTGCAATTATAATTTTTTAAATAGAATTCATTTACCAAAATACATGTCCACAGAAACAGTCTGTAAAGTAAATACTTGAACAGACATAGTTAACAAATGAAATTGATATTTTAAGATAAAAATTAATGATAAGTGAAATTATGCCATGAAAAGTCTATTTTCATCATGAAATATATCTAACTCCAAACCAAAGGATTCTAACCAATCTGACAACATATTAAAAATATAAATCCTCTGGACTGCTCAGGATAACCAAAGTCAACACAGTCTTATTGTATGCAGTCATAGAATGAATAACTGACGTAAAAGCTTATATTTATCATAGTACCTTTGTAAAAGTTTGACTTATAAAAGGTTGGACTTTCTATACTTTATTAAATAAAAATTATAAAAACTAAAAAAGGTTTTAAAAATGCTTTTCTCTACTATCTTTTTTCAAACAAATACCAAAGAAAAATAGAAAAATTAATGATCTAATTTACTTTCTAATTCACAAACTTATATAAATATTGGGAGCTCTGGTAGCATAGTGGATAAGACACTTGCCTGCTAACCAGAGGGCTGGCGGTTCAAACCCACCAGCCACTCCTCGGAAGGAAGGTTGGGCAATCCTACTTCCGTAGTGATACTGCCTCGGAAACCCAAGGAGGGGTCGCTATGAGTCAGGTTTGACTCGACGGCACATAACAACAACAACATATAAATATTTGCATTACATGTAAATCAACATACTTTGGGAGTTCTGGGTAAGTAAACAACCCTCATTTTTATAAATATTTAAATTTTTAAATAACAGTATATTAAATATCTATAATATTAAAAAGAGATAAACTACTTGTTGTTATTAGATGTCTTCAAGTCAATTCTGATTCAAAGCATAGAACAGAGTCGAACCGCCTTGGGGTTCTCAAGGATATAATCTTTACGGAAGTAGACTGCCTCATCTTTCTGGCATCAAGTGGCTGATGGATTCAGACCACCAACCTTTTGTTTAGTAGCCACACGCTTTAACAACTGAACCACCACAGCTCCTTCAATTTAAGCCTTTCTTACGTGCAAATGTTCACACTTTCCAGTGCCTTAAAAATATCGGTAATTTGAACAGTGGTTGCAACAATAGGCTCAAACCCAGCAATGACTGTGAGGATGGCACGGCACTGGGTCGGGGTTCCTCTGCTGTACATAAGGTGGTTATGAGTTGGAACCTATTTGATGGCACCTAACAATAACTAGTAACAGGTTTTGGTTTTTTTTTTTCTTATTTTTGAAGAAATAATGAGTGATTCCCATCTAAAATTGTGTACAAAGATATTCACTTTCATATGAGCAAAACTTAGAAACTTAGACCTAATGTAAAAAAACAAGAATGTTATTCAGTGAATAACAACAGAATAGTAAACAAGCATTCAAAGTTATTATTTCAAAATATATTTAATAATAGAGGAGATTGCTATTGTGTTGCTAGAGTATAAATATCATATACACAATAATAGAGTATGCAATAACACAAGGAGAATATGAAATTATATATGCAATAATATCATGATTTAGGCATGTATATATAAACTCTCAGTCACATTGGATAAAAGAAAAAAGACTGGAATTAAAGACACTTATCTGTTAACAGAAATGACATGATTATATGTAGTTTATATATTTTTTAATTCTTTCTGCATCTCTTCACTTTCTACAATCTCCATAATAAATATGTAATTGAAAGGAAGAAATGGCAAATTTAAGAAAATGTATTTTCCAACATTATGTTTTATAAGGAGGCAATTGTTTATGAAAAAAAAATTTGTCTAGAATAAATAAAACAAACTTGTGCTCACCTCAATTCTAACATTAAAATAATTTCACATTAGATATAACTACCCACATCAGTGTAAATGAATAGATTATGTCAAAATGAAAGAAAGTGCAACTATTAATTATTTCAAAATTATATTGACTTACCTTCACAAAGTTTCTGCTTCATCACCTCCCTTATTTTGGTTATTGCAATATAATCTTCCACATAAAACACGTAAGTTGATGAGGGTTTGTTGGCAATAGCTCTAAGTTCTGCATCTTCTGTTTCTGAACCAACACCAATGGCAAATAAGGTTATCATACTGTCTCTTGCTGCTTCTGCTGCATCCTTGACTTCATCTTGGGATTTTCCATCTGTCAGTACCACTGCTATCTTAGTCAGGAATCTTGAGGACTTGGCAAAAAGGTAATCAAGTGCAAATTGAATGGCCTTTCCAGTCCTTGTGTTTCCTCCCAAGTAATGTATGGATTCCATTGCTGCGATCAAATTCTCTCCTGAGTTATGGCTTCCAAGGGGAATCTCAAGTACAGGATAGTCACTATACTGGACCACTCCAACCTGAATAAACTTTGGTCCAATGTCAAAGTTTTTTGTGATATTGACAAGCCACTTTTTCACTATTTCAAAGTTTTCTGGACCAACACTATAAGAGCCATCTAAGATGAAAACTAAATCTGTAGGAGCAGTACGACAGCCTAAGATAAAAAGAAAGCCAGCAGAGCAGAGTTATTATATAAAAAGCAAAAAGTGTGAGGTCTTCAATGCATAGTTCTTAACTATACACTAACATAAGTGTTAAGTAATCAGTGAAATATGTTTAGATTAATGCTAATCTGAAATCCTTACCATGTAAACCAACGAATTGGTTGAAAGAACTTAAAAATATATTTCTGCCAACTTCAGGACTCAACTAGCCAATAAAATTTCACACTCCATTATATAACTGATAAAAGTTAAATAAACCAAAATTACTAAAGCATTCTTTCTTGCACTACATCCAAGGTGAGATTCAGAAGATCTGATCTCTCATCTTTAAAGTTAGTAAAGTAGTTAAAATATCAGCTTGTGCTCTGTGAAATTGTGTACTTTTCCATATAAAAAGACAATAAAAGATTCTTGTTTCAAGATACAAGAAACACACATGGTCAGCACATCTTAGAGTTCTAGGGACAGAGAGAACCTTTGGTGCAAGTTATACCTGGATACATTAAAAGCAGTTGTGGAGAGAAAAATAAAAATATATTTTTTAATTATCTTTTCCACAGTATTCACAGGATGCCTCTAATATGATTTCATTCTTTTAGTTTACATATATTGAGTACCTATTTTGGGTCTAGGAGTTCTGGTAGCTTAGTTTCTAAGGCACTTGACTGCTAACCAGAAGGCTGGTGGTTCAAACCCACCAGCCACTCCTCAGAAGGAAGATGGGGCAATCTGCTTCCGTAGTGATACTGCCTCGGAAACTCAAGGAGGGGTTGCTATGAGTTGGGTCCGACTCGACAGCACATAACAACAACAACAACATTTTGGGCCTAACATCTTGCTAGACAGTGGGTTTTCCAAGATCCATAAAATACGTCAAAAATCTCACAATCTATTAAGACAGACAATTGGTTGGTTAGGAAAAGCACAAAATACAATTAGAACGCTTAAGAGAGGAAATTCAATCTAATAAGGAAGTTTCTGTGGGAAAGTTGACAGATAATCTGAAATCTTAAAAGAAAAAAAAAAAAAAGAGCTTCAGTCAGGTGAAAAAGAAGATATTCCACTCAGAGGCAACAGCAAATGAAAAGGCCCAGACAACAAAAATAGACTGAGACAGATGGAGAGTAAAAGACAACCTGGTTGGTTTATATAATTCCAAGAGTTTGGAATGCCCTACAGAATGCATGAGAATAGCTATACCAATTAGTATTTTTTCATCTCCTTAGTATGGGAGTGAATTAATCAATCAATCAATATCTCTCCCTCTTCTATCTTTACATTTCTTTCTTTGTCTATGTCTATTTATATATTCAAGATGAAAAAAAGTCCCCAATTTTACAATTATCACAACTCTCACATTATAGCCATCAAATTTGTTAATAATTAACAAAATTATTAGACGAATATATGTAAGAGCCAATACATTTTAAAAAATGCCAAACCATAGGATTTTCTCAAAAAATTAATTACAATGATGACATTACTCCTGAGATGCTGTATGGTAAGTGGTGGTGTACTACAGGATGGTCTGAGGGACACAAGTCTAATATCCTTTTCCATAGTGACCATTGCCAGAGCTCAGGGCAGGGACAGAAATGGAATTCTGCCCAGAGGCAAATTTGCTAGGCCAAAGGAGTGTTTCTCCTGTTATTTTTGGAAGCTGGACTGGGATTACACAGTCACATTTTCATTGGGGTTTTGTGGGGGAGACAAACAAGACAGAAAAGTTGTGTTTGTAGACCTCTTCAATGTTGGCTCTTCTGAAATATTATGAGACTTATTGTTGTCTGGACCTGCTAGTATTTGGTTGCCACCAGATTCCATGGTTATAAACTCTTACAGGGTTATTCTTGGCCATTGTGTCCCTCTTCCTGTCTTAGAGTCACAGGGCATGTATTTCATAACTAGAAGGTTAGCCAAGAGCATGGTACAAAAGCAAGTATTGCCATTTATAAACCCAGATCAAAAAAAAAGAAAGAAAGCTCCTCTAAGAGACTTCCTCCTTAGAGAGATGACTAGTGTCACAGAAAAGGAATGGAATTAAGGATCAAAAAGCATAGTTTGGATACTAGTTTAAGCTTTAATCAGCTTAGTGACACTAGTTAAGTCCCTTAAATTTTGTGATTCTCTTTTCCCGCTAAAAAAACTGAGAAAACAATAACTATCTTGTAGATACTCTATCTTGTACAGTGTTTGGGTGGATTAAACTAAAAAAGTGTCATGAAAACATTAAATATTATCTTTTTATAAATCTTAAGCCAACTTGAATCAAGTTGTCAAACAATCTGATCTTTTTTTTTATAGAAGCCATAGTTAATTTATGTTGTTGTTGTTATGTGCCTTCGAGTCGGCCCCGACTCATAGCGACCCCTCCTTGGGTTTCCAAGGCAGTATCACTACGGAAGTAGGATTGCCCAACCTTCCTTCCAAGGAGTGGCTGGTGGGTTTGAACCGCCAGCCGTCTGGTTTGCAGGCATAGTGTTAATTTATAGTAGGGTATATATGTTTATGAGTTTTAAAATATGAATGAATATAAGCAAACTTTTTTTAAAAAAAGTATGTGATCTGTAAATGAAGGCATGAGTGGCAGAACTACATTTAATTCAGCTTTCTATTTCTGATGCAGGTTTTCCTGCAGGCAATAGAAGAAATAGTCATCATATACTAAGATGTCACCGTGTTAATCCATTAGCATACATTATGTCATTGAGTCCTGATAACCACCCTATAGGGGAGGTGATTTTTTCATCTTTATATAATGGAGGAACAATCTGAGACTCTAAGACACAAAGCTAATAAATTCAAAGTAATTCAGCTAAACAGGGATGAATACCAGATTGTTTATTCCAAAACTTGATGGTTTAATAGATTACTGCCAGAAAATTATCTCAAAATTACCTCTGAAGGAATCTTTTTCTCTCAGTTAATGCATTACATAGCAGTGCATTTATTTTAGGGAATTATAGCATCAAAGATAATAAGAATGAGATCCTTAAAATCACTTCTTAAACTCCCCTCATTTGTTTTCCAGAATGCATTTACTGACTATGGAGAGGAACAATGCTAATAATTCTTACTTGATCTTATCTCCCCATCTTCAGCTAATACAGAATTCTGAAGAAGCAGGACCAAAACTGTCCAAAGAAATGTAATGTGGTGAGTCATGCTTCTGTTTCCGTTAGTATATTTTGGTTTTAGGATTCCTATAAAGAAAAAAGGGGAAAAATGAAGTTAAATATATTAGATAAGTTGCTAGGCATTATAAATTTAAATTTTAAAATTATAATATCCAATTGGGATATAGCTAATGTTACAATTACCCTTAGAATTATTTCAGATGTATCTAAAATAACCAAATGATGAGTATATTAACACAAGAGGACAGTGAGAAGAGGCTAAGGAACACCATGGTATGCTTTTTAATTCATAATTTAATTTGGAAAAATAAACACTTTCTTTAAAACCCTGGACTTTGCTAAAAGTATTTATTAGAACTTTTTGACATGGCCTATCACATTCCTTTAAATATCTCAATGGTATCAAACATTCTTATTTTACATATAGATTTGAATCTAAGAAACACTCAAAGAGTATCTAGTGGAAATAGGTGTACGATAAAGCTGAGTGATGGGTTTAATTTTAAAAATGAGGGGTGATTTAAAAGCATTATTAACTATTTGATTTATAAATCTTCAGTTATATGGCTTTAATATGTCTTTTAAAAATCAGTCCAAGGGCTTCACACTGGTTAGGATGTGTTAAGTTGCAAGAGACTTCACTCCCAACAATGAGAACATGCAAGATAAACTACAAATCACAGTCTTTTTAAACCTAGCAGAAAATTTAAATAAACCTGAATGAAATAAATTCTAAAAGTTATGAGTAGAAGTGGAGCTCTGGTGATGTAGTGCCTAAGGCATTTGACTGCTACCCAGAAGGCTGGCAGTTCAAACCCACCAGCCACTCCTCGGAAGGTAGGTTGGGCAACCTACTTCTGTAGTGATACTGCCTCAGAAACCCAAGGAGGGGTCGCTGTGAGTTGGACCCGACTCCACAGCAGTGGTTGTGTTTGCACTGAGTAGAAGAGAAGAAATTCACAGATGCTTTCATCTCTGGCAGAAGGAAAATCAGGTAGACTGAGGTAAAGAGAAACCCTTTATGGCTGTGTGACAGGTTAAAATCCTGAGAAGCCCCAGACACAGAGCAGGTATGCCCCCACTAAGCTACTCTTCCCAACAAGTCTTAACTGTGTTCATGGAGTAGACAAGATGACAATAGACAAAAAAAAAAAAAAAAGGAAACAACCTAGAGAGTTCCCCTCCTTTCCTCTTCTACCATCCTCATATCCAGAGCCTTCCTCATATTCAAAGCAGTGTCGGATTAAAGGCTCAGAGAAGAGCAACATCGCTGAGGGAAGTCCCTCCAAGGCTTTCCAGTCCTTCACACAAGTAGAAAGATATCTCTAAAAACCAAGGGAAACACTGGAGATAGAAAGTACAACTCTCCAGCAATCCAAAAAGTTAGAAACCTGACTGACAATATGAAGAAATCTCCTAATGTTCTTCCAAAACATGAGAACAAGCAAAAAAAAAAAAAAAGCAACACAAAGTCTGTAGTCACTTGCCTCATCTCCAGTGAATGAGCCTCTAAAGAATTTAGGAATGTATGTCACCTTCTAAAATACAGAATATTTAACCTTTTAATGAAACATGAATAGTTCTTAATGGATAAAGGAAAAAGAGAAATTACTTCTATCAGAATGTAGGAAAATAGGAATTTAAATTGAGTCCACTTACTAGTGTGGAACATGTACTACACAAAATATATATATCACGCAATTCAGGTTATACACTTAATAATGCCAGTAACTTACTCACAGAAAATCCCTCTCATAGTTTTTTATCTAAAGTTTAAATAAAGTGAATTGAACCTGGTAACAACCTGTATACTTCCTATCACTATCAAAATAAGATCACAAGATTACTGTGATGATAATGATAATTTATAGTTTACAAAGTCCTTTGAGTTGGCACTATTTGATTAACTATTGGGAAATGTTAAGGAAAATAAGGCTTATTTAGGTAACATGGTTTGCCTATCATATACACTCTAATAAGTGATGGATCCAAAACTTAAACCCATGTTCTCTGGCTCCAAAACTTTTCCCACTATATTTATTCAACAACAAATATTTATTAAGCACTCTTTTAGATTCTGGGAATTCAAGACTGATCAAGTCACATCAGGGACTTGCTTTCAGGCAGTTTACATTTCAGAGACTAAATAAATAATCAAGGGGGACAATTTCAGATGATGGTAAGTGTTATATCTTAGTAAGGTAAGACAGGGGAAGGAAGGGATGAAGGGCTCTTATCCATTTGCTGGACAAGAAAGACCTCTCTAAATGGTGACATCTGAATGAGATTTGAGTAACTTAAAGAAACCGTCTTTCTCAGCTCTGGGGACTGACTTTCCCTTATGAAGATGGAGAAAGCTTGATTTGTTCTAAGAACAAAAGTAAAGTCAATGAAACTTGAGCATGGGAGCAAGGAAAAAAAAAATGACAGGGGCTAAATATGGAGAAGTAGAGAGCACATATAGAATGCTATAGGCCACTTCAAGTTTAGAATTTTTTCCCTATTTGCAAAGTGAATCCATAGAGGAATTTTAAGCATAGGAAAATCATGATCTAGTTGTCATTTTAAGTAGATCACCCTACTTTAAAAACTAAAGAGCTCTATAATTTAAGAGGATTGTTTTATTTTTGCAGGAAGTAAAAAAAAAAAAAAATCAAATGATCAATTATTGCTTTTTTGCTTTTCGCATCTCTTCTATTTCTTTACCTTAGTTGTGTATCACATTCCAGTAGCATTGTCTCTACTATTGCATTAAAGTCAAAATAAATACCTGTGAGTAAATTTTTCAGAACAGTAGATATAAAAATAAAAGTAAATTCCTTGTCCCCTTACAATTAATGTATGTGTCAGTGGATCAACAGGAAGTGTTATGAATTAGCATGAGGAGCCACTGGGAATGTAATCAAAGCTTTCAAAATGAGTGCCTGTCAGGAAAAACAAAAAATGTCACCTCAAAATTTCATTGCTGTGCTTTGCTGCAAAACTTTCAAATAAAAATGAAGACTAAAACTTCTGCTTCACGCTCTAACATTCATGCTTATTTGAAGACTCTGTCTTTGAACTACATTGTAAAACAGGAAAAGGTGGGGAAACTGAAATTTTAGTTCTTGACCTTGTGCATGTGTGAGCACACACATACTCATACACACACACCCCTATAGTGCTCTAGATTTCTGCAATTAAAGTAGAAGTAGAGACATACATTGGAACATAGTAAGAATTTAGAAGAGAAAATGCTGGGAAATGGGTTAAAGCATTAAGAATCAATTAATGTACATATGTATGGAGAGTTCACTTTTTTGTGTTATCTTAAAACAACAGAACCCATTCCAAAGAAAGATGATCCCACAGAACAATATCATTAATATCACACACAAGTAAAATCTCACTGAAGATAATTCAAAAACGATTGCAGCAGTATACTGACAGAGAACTTCCAGAAATGCAAGCTGGATTCAGAAAAGGACGCAGAATGAGGGCTATCATAGCTGATGTCGGATAGATCTTGGTTAAAAACAAAGAATACCACAAAGATGTTTACTTGTGTTTTATTGACTATGCAAAAGCATTCCATTGTATGGATCATAACAAATTATGGGTAACATTGAGAACAATGGGAATGCCAGAATACTTAATTGTGTTCATGAGGAAACTGTACAGCTGTCATTCAAACAGAACAAGGGGATATAGTGTTTGGAATGACATAGGTCAAATCATGTCCCCAGAAATACGTAATTAAGCACTGCCACCTTGTATATATATAAAAATTTATGATTAACAATTGACTTCTGTCATTATATTTTCTCTGCACAACAGTATCTGCTGTAATTATAATTCCCATTTTCTAGAAGGTTTAAGAGATTTAAAGAAGCTATTATTTACACACTGCTCTTAATGCTGAGGATACAAAGATTCACTCCACTCATACCTTGAAGAAGGTCAAAGCATGATGGGGAAGAGAAACATTTGAGTTACCAGCAACTCACAATTGGCATAAACTACAAATGAAGAGAAGTGTCAAATAAGACCAATTCTGGTCACACATATGGGCTTAGAAACTTTATTATCTTTAAATCAGACCTTAACCAGATAATTGAAGATACATTACTATTAAAAACTTATATACATATATCAAGAAAGAGAATGATAGGTTGTCCAGAGAAAAGTGGGTCCAAGCCAGAGCAACAACAAAAGGACTTTCCAGAATACAATGGATAATAGCTAAGCCACAAATGTAGAAAGCAATGTATCCAAAGAAAACAGGAAGATAGAGGGCCCCACAATGGTTTGCTTCCAGGAGGTTAAAAAAAAACAGGATGGTGGACACAGTAGAATATATGATACAATAGACCATTGGAAAAAAAATAGTTATGTGGGTGGCAAAAAGGCAAGAAAAAATGTAATTATGAATTATAATAAAAACAAAAGGCAATTCAAGAGAGTAATAATATGATATACTATTCAGCCAAAGAGTGAAAAATAACAACAAATCATAATATTGACCTAATTATTGCCTTGTTTGGAAATGAGGCACTAGGTGAATGGAGTAAAAGAAACAGAGGTAGTATAAGGGAAATCTTCACTAATTGTAACAGAAATGGAACAACTATTATCTAAAACCGAGAAATCAGAGAATTGGAGTATAAACACATTTATTTTAAATTACTGAGCACTTACTAGAAAAAAAAATTTAAGAAATTAAAAAGTTGTGGATCTGGAGTTGAGAAGAATAGGTGATAATTAACTTTGAATTATTTGCATGTATTATAGGAGCTTTAGTGGTATAGTGGTTAAGGCATCTGGCTGATAACCAAAAGGTCAGCAGTTTGAAAAACCAGCCACTCCGAAGAGAAAGATGAAGCAGTCTGTGTCGTCCTTAAAGAGTTCCAACCTTGGAAACCTTATGGGCAGTTTGACTCTCTCATATAGGGTTTCTATCAGTCAGAATCAACTCGATGGCAGTGGGTTTTGGGGTAGGCATGTATTATATTCACAAAAATAATTTTAAACAAGGATGACAATACTTGT